CAACTCCTCACTAACTTCCTTCTTCTTCCCAGAATGCCTCCTGGGTCTTGTTGTCCCGCCTAACTTTCTCATGGAGCTTCAGTTGTTATCATACTTTGTGGCAGAATTATTTTGACTACGAAAGTCTCTGCTCTCTGCTCATCTTAGCAACGAGATAACCAGAGAGCGAAGTTTCTCTGAAACAGCATGAAAAACTTTCCTACTACAGAGCAGACTTTAAATCAAGATGGATGCTATTGGGACAATCTTAGGACTACATATCCCATTCTAATACACATAAAAACACAAATCATCACAGATGCCCAGTGGAAGTGTATACCACAAAGAAAGAAGGGCTGAACTAAATCCAAGAAGGTGCTGGCATGGCTAACGAGCAGAGTTTGAGAGGTTTGGAAGGGCAAGGAGGGGTCCTTCTGTAAATGGAAATCCTTCCCAAATGAGGAAAATAAAAAGGAACTCAAACTCTGGCAAAATGAATGTAAGAAGATAATATGGAAGGCAAAAAAAGTCTTTGAGGAATGTATGACCAGCAATATAAAGGGGGATAATAAAAGCTTTTTAAAATATGTTAGAAACAGGAAACTTTCCAGAGAAGCGGCTGGCCCTCTGGATGGTGAGGGAGGGAAAGGGGAGGTAAAGTTGGACATGGAGATTGCAGAGAAATTAGTTCTTCGCACCTGTCTTCATGACAGAAGACCTTGGGCAGATTCCACTGCCCAAACAGCCCCTCCTTACTAATGAATTAAATCAGATACAGGTTAAAAGAGAGGATGTTTGAAGTAGTAAGAATAACTAGCCTTCATCAAAATTGCTTTTGACAGGTGCCCAGCCCCTGCAAGGTGGGAGAAAGGCTCAAGAATCGACCCAGGGCCCTCCTTCTGGGTGGGCAGGACTTTAGGATGACGTAGGGGGCTGGTGAGGCCACCGTGGGCCTGTAGAAGGGGTTAGTAGATGTGTGGGTCTCCAATGACCAGAGCACGGCCTCAGGATTGGCCCTCAAGTAACGTGCCACCCCCATGGTCCTGTAAGCCAATGGGGAGAGGTTGGACGGTTTGGCTAGAAAAGGGCCAGCCATAGAGCATGCCTTGGCATGCTCTTAGGGCTCCTGGATCTGAAAATCCACAGCATTTGCTGAAACGCCACAGCAGTGATTTTGGGGGCCTTCTGCGTGTGCTTGCCGGTCTTTCCAGAGACCGGCATAGTTTGGAGAAGATGGAGGACAAGGAAAACCAGATCCCATGCACCCACGCATCCCCAAAAGTGGCAGACCAAAAGGATCTGGATGACAAAACCCCAGCCAACCCTAGAAAGCGTTACATGAGATTCTGACAATGAGAATATGCCGCCTGCATCACTACAGTGCCTGGAAGACCCAGAAAGCTCTGAAAGCTGGCATAATATGGAAGGTTCCTTTTATACAGAGAAATCTTCTGAAAACCGGTATGTAATCATTTGTGGAAGGGTGGTGTAAGAGGGTTGCTATATATCAGAGGTCTCCAACCCCCAGTCCATGGCCTAAGCCAGACTGGGCCACCGAGACAGACCTCCCCCCCCGCATGCACTCACCCCTGCACAGCTTGTTTGTGGCTGCAATGCGTGCTCCAGCACCCCCATGTGAGCACTGTGCTGCTGTTTATGCATGAGTGTGTGGGCCCAGACAAAGGCTGTGCTGCCATTTGCGCACGAGCATGAGCCTGCCAGATTTACGAGATGTTCAAAAAGTATGTGGCAATGGTCAATAATAAGCTTAGAGAAATCAGTAGCAAACATGCAATGTATTTTGATGAGCTACAGTAAACAGATAGAAGAAGAACTATACTAGAGAACACTGATGAGAAAGATCAGCAGAACCCCTCACTCATAGACATAAATGTACCTGTGTGTTCAAAGTCTGAATCAGGCAGAGGTGTGGACAGTAATGAAATATGAAATACAAGCAGTACAGTAAAAGAGAGGGAAAGAGATGGAGAGGTCAACAATGCTAATTACAGTGGTGCCTCGCTTAATGATGTTAATTCGTTCCAGCGACATAGCTGTAGAGAGACAACATTGTAAAGCAAAAATTAAAAAACCATTGGAACGCTTTAAAACCAGGTTAATGCGTTCCGATGGGCTAAAAACTCACAGTCCAGCGAAGATCCTCCATACGGCGGCCATTTTCACTCCCTGTCTAGTGAGGAATCCATCCTAGAAAACAGCGGGAGGCCATTTTCTTCAACTGGCAGCCATTTTGGAACCCGACAATCAGCTGTTCGCTGATCGTCGTAATGCGAAAAATCAGTTCCCGAAGCAGGGAACCGATCATCGCACAATGGATTTTGCCCATAGGAAGCATCGTTTTGTGATTGCTTTTGTGGATTCATCGTTATACAGGGCAATCGTAAAGCGAGGCACGACTGTATCTGGAAAGGCCCCTTGATCGTCAAGAGTTTCCAGAATCACACATCAGACGCTCCTCTTTATATAATAGTGGCAAAGCTCCACTTGGAAGGAGACTGCTTTGCATGACAAAGTCAAGAGTTGTTAGAAAGGAAGAGAAAACTGTATTGCAGATAAAGTGCCCTCCAAGAACATCTGAACCTGGTGCTACTGCACAGCGTTTGAATGACCATGCAAGCATTTTACTTTCCAAAAGTTCATGTGAAAAACTTAGAAGAAATAGAAAACAGAAATACAGGTTAAAACAAAAGCAGGAGATAAAACTTCTTGGAGAACAAATGAATTTGCCACTTGCTGTGGTCAAAATGGTCAAGTCAACAGCTCCAGTGACTGCAAATCCTAAATTTCCACTGACATCTGAGAAAACTTGCCCAGTTCCAGAGAGACTGTTGGTGAGATCCCAGGAAGCAGGTGCCAGAGAATGTGAGATTGGAGGAGCTGAGAGCTTCAACTCAGCCTGTAAAATGGCAAGTTCAAGATCCTGATTAACTGTTCTACCCTGTGAGATTGTTGTTCATATGTAAGCCAACCTGGAACGATAAAATAACTGTCTATACAACAAGCACCAGGTTTCCTCAACCTAGAGTTTCTTTGCAGGTTGGAGAAAGGACTCCAACAAGGTCATGGTGAAGAATAATTATTCTTCTTCAGGAGAAATGGACATTATGAATATATTATTTCATTTGGAAAATGAATTATTTGCTAATAATGATGAACAGTAATATAATTAAATAGTAAGAATAATAAGTTATTGTTGAATAGTTTCAAATTTAAATATGCATGTGAATGTGCCATACCAATATAAATTCATTTTATTAAAGGTAAAAAGGTGGAGGGACGTGGTGGCGCTGTGGGCTAAACCGCAGAAGCCTGTGCTGCGGGGTCAGAAGACCAAGCAGTCATAAGATCGAATCCACATGACGGAGTGAGCATCCGTCACTTGTCCCAGCTCCTGCCAACCTAGCGGTTCGAAAGCATGCAAATGCGAGTAGATTAATAGGGACCACCTTGGTGGGAAGGTAACAGCGTTCCGTGTCTAAGTCGCACTGACTATGTGACCATGGAAGATTGTCTTCGGACAAAACGCTGGCTCTATGGCTTGGAAACGGGGATGAGCACTGTCCCCTAGAGTCGAACACGACTGGACAAAAATTGTCAAGGGGAACCTTTACCTTTTTTAAAAAGGTGGAAGGAGATGCATTAGAAAATAGTAAAGATAAAATTGAACAAAATATATTGAAAAGTAATGATAGTTAATATTAAATATAGAACCATAATTAGTAATTTAATCAAATTCAGTGTATAAGTTATTGAGTTATTTGTTGAAAAATGTGTATTATGGTTAGTATGTTTGCAGATGTTACAAGAACTAATTGTTAAGGATATATGAAATCTATGCTAAATGTGAAATGCAATTAAATATATGCTCTTGGTTTCATCACTCCTTATTGAGAAATATTTGGAGGCTCTTAATAGAGCAATGATTTTAAGAGGGGAGGAATGTGACAGAACTTTAGCCAATCAGAATGGTAACAGAGGAAAGATGATGATTGGCTCTGTGTGTGTGGATGTGGCCAGCCTATCCTAGAGAGCCCAAAGGAAGAGGGGCCTGGAGAGACCTGAAAGGTGGAGCATTAGAATGTAACTGGAGAGAGAGGTTGTGTTTTGGGCAGCTGGGCTGCTCTGCAGTTCTAGGATGGTGGTGGTGGTGGTGGTTGCTTTTCTCTTTTATCACAAAGGTGAGCAACCTGTGGTTGGTAGACTGTGTCTCCTGTAATTCCCAACCAGCTGGTAGGCCACAGCGCCTCCATCTCCCCACACTTCTCTTGCTATTGAAATGTTATGGAAAGGCAAGTTTTAAAAAAGGCAAACAAAGTTTTACATAAATAGGAAAGCTAGAAGTAACCCTTTGCATTCATCTGGTTGACACCTGCACAGAAAAACTTACAATCTTCTCCTCCTTGACGGGGGGGCTGCACAGGAACCAGCAGAGAGGTGCATATGCCAGGTTGATACACCCAATGACAACCATCAGCCAGGGAAAACCAATGGTCTGTACGAGAATTCCGCTTGTAGAGGGACCTGCAAGTTAAAAAATGGTACCAAAACACACTATGGCTGAAATCCCGTTCCTTAGTGTAGTAAGTCACAATGGGAGTAGGCCCACTGAATCAATAGAGCTTACAGAGGAATCGACTCATCAAATCTCCACAGCCTACTCTAACTGCAACATTCTAAGCCAAGCAACAGGATTTTAGCTGCCAAATACTGGAAACATCCTTAGTGAATTCAATACAGTAGGCACATCACAGTTTTATGGAAAATTCTGCTTTTTTGCATTCAGACACCTAGAAATTTAGATATGTACCGTCAAGTTGAAACCAACCTATAGTGACTCTAGCAGTGCTTTCAAGGGAAGTGAGATATTTAAGGAGTGGTTTTACCAGTTCCACTCTCATATGCAGTTTCAGTGGCTGAGTGGGGAGCTGAATTCTGGTCTCCAGAGATCTCCTCCACCATTCTATCCACTATAACATGCTGGGAATATTGCCCTAGAAAACCTGGGCAATATTCACCATTTCATATTCCATATCCTTTTGAGGTTAACAGGGGAAGGACAGACAATATCTTGTCCACCTTTTGTGCTTTGGCTAGGGCATTCCCTACACTGCTGTTGTTCAGTCTGGAAGTGCTGTTAGTAGGCCACCAAAATGGCCCCCTCCATGCCCAGCAGGATAGTGTCAGCAGACAAAGAGAAACCCCAAATTGTGTAGAAGAAAAGAACATTAGGAACAGGAGAAAACCCCAAAAGGGACAAATGAAAACTGAGTATGTTCAGCAGGCACAAAATGTCCATTGCCTCTCTGAGGTATGGTGAGGAAAATCAAAGGGAAAGGGGGACTGAATGGTGTGTCTGGAATCCAGAACAGGGAGTGATTCAAACTGCAACATTTTGCTGCCAGTTCAGCTTGTTAATGTGAATGTTCATTTTTAATTCAAAACAAAAATCAGAACATTTTATTGACTGGCCATGGCCTTGCTGAAACAGACCACATGGAGGCAAGATAGTAATATAATAATAATCTTAGAACGGCAGGGATCATTGACTCCAGCCCCTATCAAGGAGGCACAATCAAACTTCCAACCTCTAGCTCCGCAGCCAGATGCCCACTGAGCTAAAGCACCATGAAATTTACAGATTGCTGGCAGAAAATGATGGCAGCTAGACAAAGAAACCCCGAACAGTTAAATTAATATGTAGCAGTTTTGAGCCAAGGTAGACTTGATACAAAGAATCTATATACAGGATTTTCTGCATCATAATTACAGTATTTTTAAAAAGATATAGTGGCTGTGAGGGAAGATTCAGAACAGGGTAACTCTTTAGTCTGCACCATTTTCCCAAGTAGAGATCGGCACAAGCCACAGTTCAGCACTTTGGTGCAGTTCAGTAGATTGGGCTCACAGGTGTTGTGCGGGTGCTCTGGGTTCCCTGCCCTGCCTCCTCCCATGGGTGCCCACACAGAGGAGGAGGAGGAGGCAGGACAGGGAAGTCCGAGGCACTGCCTCTGAACGGGCTACTGTGGGTGGAGGTGGGGGAGGGAATCCCAGGCACCTGTGCAACCCCTATGGACCCGATCTGCCAAACTGCAACAAAACACTGAAGCATGGTTCGTGCTCGTTTGACTGAATTCCCCCTTTGGCTGACATTTGCCCCATGAGGGAAAGAGATATTCTATCTTAAATTTGCGCCATAGGACAAGTAGTTGCTTTGGAGATAATGGGAGGAAAAGGTTTAAAAATCTTAATTCAACGATGTGGTTCTGATCCAATATGTGTGTAAGAAAGAGTGGGCACTTACTTTTTTTAAAAAAGGCTGTTTACAGACTTCCAGTTTGGGATATAGCTTTAGAATAGTTTTATGACTAAAGATTAACTGAAGTTTCATTGATTTTAATGTATCTTCTCTAAGCATGACTACGCCTGGAACCTACCTGTATATTAATTTGCTTTATGTTGCACGTACAGTGGTGCCTTGACTTAGGAACTTCATTGGTCCCAGAACTCCAGTCGTAACTCGAAATGGTTGTAAGTCGAAGCACAATTTCCCATAGGAATGCATTGAAATACAATTACAGTGGGGTCTCTACTTAAGAACGTCCCTACTTAAGAACAATCCAACTTAAGAACAGCTCCATTTGCTAAATTTTGCTTCTACTTGAGAACAGAAATCCAAGATAAGAACAGGAAAAACAACCTTTCCTGCTCTTTTTTTAACCTTAGGTCATCTTAGGTTAAAAAAATTCTCCCCCTAGTGGTAGAGTACGTATTAACCAGCTTTGCATTAGTTCCTATGGGAACTAATGCTTCAATGTACGAACGCACCTCTACATAACAAAAAAACA